CATACTTTTTTATTTTCTTACTTTTTATATTGTTGTTAAATTACATAATTTAGCTACAAAATATCGCACACTACCGTTGACGACACAGTCAAATACGTAGCTACTCGGAGCGAAAGTGGTATGGGAGAGTAGGAGTGGACAGTGATGGCTGAAGACGGGATGTACTTAGAAGGGGTTTGGACAGACGGAAGGAGAGGGAAAGGGAATTAGGATACTTCACCTGCAGGCTGCCGCGAGCTATAAATTGCCATCTTTTAAATTATTCCACAAGATGGAACGCAAAAATTCCGCATCGATGGTCTTTGCCGTGAACGGGAGGTCTGCTTTGCAAGAGAGTGTGGAAAATTTACTGTTTTGTAGATTTAGTGGGATTAATGAGGCAGTCAGACCATGTCACGGGTAATTAATTCTACCCTAATTCTACCCTAAGAACCGGGCAACGTAGGTTCGCGAGTTGAAGGGTGAAGAAAGAAGAATGGATTTATGATGCTAAGCAAGAAAAAAAAAAAAACGGATTTATGATGCTAAGCAAGAAAATAGATGTCAAATGAAAGCTGGCAGGCACAAGCTTACTAGCTTTTACCTATTGTTCAAATCCTGCCACCAAGCAAAATTTCAGTCACTTTTGAAACAATATGCCAGCCCTGCTTTCACGATCCCCTGTGATTTAAACCTGCATCCACGGTACTTCCCCTTCTCTGCCTTTACCTCGCTAACCAAGCTCACGAATCCGCGTTGCCTGGTTCCTAGGATAAAGATACCCATAACATGCTCTGGTTGGCTCATTAATCCCACTAAACCTACAAACCAGTAAGCTTTGTACAAGAACGAAGTTTCGTTCATTCGTTCCAATCATATGCTGGTTCCGAAACATGCCAGGAAGTCAAACCCACCATCAGCCTGCTTTTACGTAACTCTCGAAAAAGTGAGCTATTGGCAGTCTTGCAAATTGCTTTATTTCGTGTATATCATACAAAAATAGCCGACAACAAAGGCGATACGACATAATGTATGGGTTAAAATTTCACCGCAAAATGACAAAAACACGACTTGCAAGGGCTGATAAAACCGAATTGCTCCAAGCATTTTTCCGACGGTAAAATAAAATCTAAACTACCACATATCCCATGCATTTTTTTAACTCAAAATTCCATAAAATGAAACTAGCCAGTCCTCTATGAGTAACCAGTGCCTTCAAAATATACCTTTTCGAAGATGCCTAACATCTCCCCGTGGTCTAGAAGCCCCAACTTCCAAAATAGGCTCGAAAAAACACAAAGCCGGGATATCTCGAAACGACTCGAACCTTATCAAAACCGCTGAGCTGGTGATTCCTTAGGAGAAAAAACGAATATTAGGGGCACCAGTAGGTTAACCGAAAAATCATACAACACTGGTCAAAGGATCTGGGAAAGAAGCCAACTGCATAGCTGGATAAAACACAGCACGATTCGACCAGTGGATCTTACTTCCTCGGATGACTGCGCGTTTCGGCCACCTAATAGATTGCCTTTATGGTCACAGAAGGCGGACGGAGGGAGGGGAGGGGGGCGTGGGGCTAACAAATTCCATCCAAAATTTTCGCTTTAAATTTTTTCCTTAAATAACGCTTGATGTCCCGCTACTGTCAGTAATCACGCTCCATTCGGATATCATTCGGTACTTTAACACTGTGATACCAAAGCGGCAGGTATAGCTCGAAGGTTACGAATTTGAAACTTATCGAAATATCAAACCAAAGAGAGATAAACATGTATGTTCCCTTATTTCTAGCACCATTCTCATTTTCGTAAAAGAATTTGTAAAATTTCGGAGCAAAAATTCGGTTTTAAGAAGTACAAAAATTGTTAACAGCGATCGTTTGTTCCGAACAACAATGGTTGTGAAAATTTTGACAAATTTGAACATCGTAACTTGAAATAAAAAAACAGTGGCCGCTAGCAGTAACAGGCATTAAACAGTCGCAAAATCAGAGAATTAGAAAGAGGAAAAAAAACTGTAAAATATCAAAAATATTTGAAAATAGCAAAAATATCATTAAAAAAAAAATAGCAGTAGTAAATAATGTACAAGTCCTTTAGAAAAAAAAATACAAATGAATAAGCAAAAGACGCGAAACGCGTGAAAAAAAACGTATTGTAAAATGGTATAAATTTTTTGCATTTTTATTACAACAGTTCTCCTCATTTTTCAGGAGCATTTTTTTTTTCATATGAAATAGGCGCACTTTTTTTTTAAAGAGGAAATGCTGCTGCTGTGTTGCCGTAGGAACATTTCTGAACACTGAGAGGAACAAGAAAACTCCCAAAACGACAAGGCGCCAGGAGAGAGGGGAGGGGATCAGCAAAAATGGGCTAAAGGAAGGAAGAATAAAAGCAAAGCCAATACTTTTTTTCAGGGGAATTTTCTTTAACAATTGTTTAAAGAAGGAACATCATTCGGGGGTAAAAATTTTCAAAAATGAATTGGTTGCAAAAAATCTCTTACTTTTCCAAGTCCCAAAAAAAGTCTGATTAAAACTGGCTGTCCATCCCTATTAACTCATTTTCAAAATTTATAAAGGGCATCATAAAAAGCTGCGTGGAAAGCCAATTTTGTGCAAAACTGAACCAAATAAAACGAGGAAAAAAACCACTGAAGAATGAATAAATTTTGATAATCGGAATTATGACTCGCCGCAGCTCAACCTTATTGATAAACGGTGGGTTTTTTTTTTCAACTCAGATAAAAAGAAGATACTCATACAAAAGAATGCCCAAGTACGCTGAGTACCGAAAAGACTTTAAAAGAAATTAATTTACGAATTTAATATGGCCTCCTAATTCTCAAGACTGATCAATCTGTTCAAGGTTTTCGAGATTTATCAGTCTGGGACCGCAAACTTTCCATTTTTATGATTATCCTCCCTTCCGGCCGATAAAATAACCTCATTTATGGCAAAATTTGGGAAAATGTGGATATCAGCGCAGGCCAAGAAGACGACATTTCAAAGCAGTAACAGCCTTAACAAATGTTTATGCTGAAAAAAACCGCTGAATTGGCATTTCTGCGATGAAACGAACGTCAAAATCGCTAGCAAACTGATCAATAAGCAATCC